TTTGGGGGAGCAGGGTTGGCACTGGTGCCAGAGTAGAGCCATGGGTCTGTATGGGAGTATAGTGAGTCCAGGTGCTAGCATGTGGAGTTGCCAGTACTCAGGTTTGGAAGCTCAGGCAAGAGATACGGGCCAGTAATGCCCTTTTCATACTGTCAGTGTAGAAACTCTCAATTAACCCAGAAGTACATGAGGCAAGCTGTGGTTCAGATGGAGAAAAGAAGAGGGCATTGAGCAACTCCAAGGTTCACTGCTCTTGAGATTAAGAAGGGTCTGGGAGAGGTGGGAGGGTGATGTCCTGGTGCCAAGGGACAGTGCTGAGGTCCCCTGTCCAGAGAGCCATGTGGACAGGCAGTCTGGCAAGGACCACACAGAACTGGGGTGGGGTTGGTCAGGGCACTGTGGGGAGCCAAGGGGGCATGGAAGCAGCAAGGGGATAGCATTCCTTCAAGGAGCTGGCTGTGGAGGGGCCAGAGGATATCTCTGAGGAACCCACACCCCTTGCTGCAGCCAGGCGCTGCTTACTCAGCAGGCCATGGGGTTGTTCTGACATCTGGCTCTGTGAACAGCACTTGGTGGACCCTGTACCTCATTCTTCATGCATGCTCTAAATTTCTTGGTATGTATTCCCAGAACTAGGATTATGTTGCAGAAGCTTACTGTGTACTTGAAGGTTCTGTGTGTCCTCCCACATTTCCTCCAGGAAGGTGGCGGGTGGTGCTGCAGGCCAGCCTTTCCCCCGCGACTGTAAAGCTGGCAAGGACCAGGTCGTCCCAGGACTCTGCTCTGTGCTGCTTTGACCACAGGGAATCTCTTGTGCTGACTATTTCTTTGTGAGTTGCCTCTCTGTGTGCTTAGGTATTTGTAAGGTGATTCATCATTTTTGGCATTCATTTGTGATGTCCTTGTATATTATACCCATTGTCATATGTTGCAAACACATGCCAGGTTTTCTTTCTTTGTCTTTTATACACAGAAGCTGAAATATTTTCTGATTTCAAAGATACCTTAATCTCTTTTTCTTGCAATTTTGCCTTTGTCATTGTACTTTGGAAGTACAGTTGTCCCTAAGCTGACACAGAGGATTGGTTCCAGGACCTCTGTGTATATACCCAAGTCCACATGCACTCACGCCCCAAAGGCCCTTCCACCCTGCTCATATGTAAAGTTAGACCTTCGTACACATGAGTTCCCATTCCTTGAATACCATATTTTCAACCTGTGTTTGTTGAGAAAGTCTGCCTATAGGTGGACCTGCTCAGTTCAAACCTGCGTTGTGCAGTGGCCAACTGTATTCTTTACCTCAGAGCTAGCATCTACCTACATACTCTTTGTGTGCTTTTGGGGTTTTATTTTACTTTGAGATCTGTAATCCATTTATGCATGATGTTGGCACATGTAGGAATCTAGCTTTGCGCGTCTCCAGATTTTGGCCTGGTTAAGCTAGTCCTGCTCATTGTAAACCAAAGGATCTGTGTCTCCTCATACCTTATTTCGGGACATCGTCCTCTGTGCACCTTACCTGCAGTCTGTTCCTTTGTTGTTACCAAGCTGCTCTGTTTGCTGTAGCCCCATAATCTGCCTTCATATTTGTTGGGACGAGACCCAGCAGCTTTTTTAAATAAGCGTTTTCACTCATAGGAGATTGCATTTGCCTCCAGCATTATTCAGGACAGTTTATCAGTTAGTCAAGAGACTGCTATCGAGAGAAGAGATTCTGAATCACTTATTATTATTTTTTAAATTTCTTATTTGAACCTGAAGTAAGACTGAATCACTTATAGCATATTCCTAGTCTAGGAGAAAGTTTTGCATCTTCCCTTGCGGTGGAGGTGGAGAGTCTTACTCAGTGTGAGGCCACTATTGAGGTCTGAGCCTCAACTTGAAGGTTCCCCAAAGGCAGGAGGGAGGTCTGTGTGTGCCCCGGCCTCGAAGCCCCAGCACTGACTTGGGAGGTGGGGAGCCTATGCACATGGCATGGGGGGCCCAGTGTCTACACTGCTGTCTAGCTGTCCTCACCAAGCGCCCTTGTAACTGTCGTCTTTGCAACCCTTCCTGTCTTGCCATATGTCAGCGACAGCAGTAGTGCCTGTGACCAGCGTGGCTGTGAGGACCCAGTGGCTCTGCGCACACAGCTGGCCCCTGAGAAATGCCAGCTGCTGATTCTGTGTGCATCTGACAGGTGCTCTGTCGTTGCACACGGACTGGACTATTTTCTAAGCAGTGGTGCTTTAAGAAACCGAGTGTGTTGGAGACCTTTGCTTTTTCTGAGTTATCCTGTGATGGCTCAGATCCTGGTGTCATTTGTGCCCCTTCTTGCCAGTTCTTAGGAGAACACCTCCAGGATTTTATTTACCTTTTCTAAAGCAGGGTGACGCCATTCAATCAATGGAATTCACTGTTGTCCTGGCACAAAGCCCAAATGCTTTTGTGTTTTTTTGAGACAGTCTTGCTCTGTCACCCAGGCTGGAGTGCAGTAGCGTGATCTCAGCTCACTGCAACCTCTGCCTCCCAGGTTCAGGTGATTCTTCTGCCTCAGCCCCCCTGAGTAGCTGGGACTACAGGTGTCGCCACCACACCCAGCTATTTTGTAATTTTGGTAGAGATGGAATTTTGCCATGTTATTTAGGCTGGTCTCAAATCCTGACCTCAGCCTCCCAAAGTGCTAGGGTCACAGACATGAGCCATTGCACCCAGGCAGCCCACATGCTTTTGAACCAGCAAAGACATCTATCCCTGGATTTCTCTTGGTGTCAAGACCTTATCACCACTGCTTCCGGAAGTGACCTGTGATGAGTGGTGTAGTGTTGGGGGCCACAAAGTCCGACCTCCCAGTGCCTCGCTCCAGGTGTAGATAAAGCTGCTGACACTTTGACGGCTGCCGAACTTAGAATTAAGACATCCTCCTCCCAGCCCATTCCAACTGACATTTGCTAAGGCCCATAAAAAGTAATTGCCTTTTAAACTGGAGTGTAGGCCTAGGGATTGGCTGGTGAAAACATCTGAGTGAAGGCTTGGGGGAGAGATAGACATTCCTTGTTTTTCCCCCAGGGAGGAAAGGGGGATGCAATACCTTTATTTTCCTGGGGACTGGGAAAGGTACAGTTGGGTAGTTAAGTTTGAAAGAAAATAGAACGACACAAAAATGAAAGAGGGGCATTTAACAAGAAAAATCCCTAGAGGGGGAGATTAAAGTGAACAGGTGCTGGAAAAATGTTTCTGCATATTAGAGCTTAATTAGATTTGAAGATGAATTCCAGATGGGCTAATTATGTGTGAGTTGTTGCAGGTTATTTCTTGTAGGGGCAAGCGTGTATTTTGGAAATGGTGATTTAGTTTGATTGAATTTGATTTTTGCCTCCTACCAAATCTCCGTTGAGAAACCACCTCTTCTGGGGCCCCAGGACCCCACGCAGTAGACCCCACGTCTTTAGTACCCTATCCCAGCCAACACAGCTCAGAATGAGGAAGCCTGTCCTGACTTTGGCAGCCATTCGTCACATAGAAGGCGGACATAGGATTCTCACCCAAGTCGATGGAAAGTCATTTCAGTGTTCAAGGAAGGCAAACAGCGCAGAGCCGTGTATTTGCAGGAAAGTGGCCTTTGATGGGGTGGGGAGCGATATGTGAACTGGAAATAGAGTCCAGGTTCGTTCTCCTGCCTTCCTGGAAAGATTGGTTGCATGCAAGTATTTGGACCATTTTTTTCTGGCAGGGTAGAAGCAAGTTCTTGTTGGCAGCTCTCTAACTGTGAGTCGAGAAAAGGCATGAAGGTATGGATAACTGAGACACATTTCAGGCCAGAGATTGAATTAAAATTTTGTTCTATTATTATTTTTTAAGACTAGTCAAGTACAGTCATGAGGAGGGGAGAAAGAGTAGAAGAAGGAGTTGGGTATGTAACTGACTGAACGATCAACTGAGATAACTTACCACCTTTGGACCAGCCAGAAAATTTAATTTTCAAGCAAGGAACAGGGCCAAGGGCCAAATGGGGCCTGGGACTTCTCATTAGGATAATGGGCTCGGTTTGATTGGGGAACAGCTTGTGATGATTGTCTCAAAAGACAGTGTGGCTCCCTGATGTCCCCAGGAAGGTGTGGTTGTGCTGGGGGTGGCCTCCCATCACCCTGCACACCTCAGGGAGATTTGCTTGGTAGTCATTTCGGGTCTGAGAGCTCCAATAAATATAAACTTTTATGTAAGGCCCCATAATTGGAAATTATGGATGTATAATTTATGTGTGACTTAATGAATGATTTATATAATGTTAAGTGATGATTTAGATAGAAAATATGACCCCCTCCTGCAGAATCTTTAATGAAAAGCTTTGGTTCTTATGAATTTGTTTCTGGTGCTCTGTTTGAACTCAGCATGTTTAACATAAATCAGATCTAATTGTCATTTTATGATTAATGAACATATGCTGGCCATTTTTCCCCATAATTAAACTTTATGTTCTGTACATCTGACAAAGCAAAACAAGTTGAGACTGACAGATTGGTGTGCTGTTCCCATGTCTTCGCATTTGTGCGTGCCTTTATTTTACTCATTTCCAAGTACTTGGTTTCTGGAAAGTCAGGTTTTCAGAGGTATGAGAAAGCTCCTAAGAGTTAGCATTCAGACCGTGAGGCTTCATGTGCTTTTGGAGGATAGAAAGGGCACGGGTCCAGCCTGAGGGGAACTCGGGCCCTTCTGCCTGTTGAAGATTGTACCTGAGTGCCCGGCGAGTGCTGTAGGTGGAGGGGAGGCATTTGATGTGCTCTCCCAGTGGAGAGTCCCAGTGCCTGAGAGGCTAGCCGCTTTCTCAGGCTGTGGTTATAATAAGGAACTGCAAGAAATGGGGGAAGGTGGTTTCACTGCAAAAATATGCACGTTTGCTTTCTGCTATCCATCCACTTCATTAAGATTTGAAGTAATTTAAAAGGAGAGATGAGTGTGTGAAAGGAAAATCATCACCCTGATTGCCTTTGCTCACCGCCATTCCCCTCTGACTATTGCAGGATGTAGACAAGTTTGGCAACGAGATCACCCAGCTGGCCCGACCCCTGCCTGTGGAGTATCTGATCATAGACGTAAGTGTCCCCCCTGCCAGGCAGAGCCTGGGTAGATGGACCCATCAGGTGCTTTGGAGGTGGGACTGCTGGGTGGTGGCTGCTCACAGGAGAAGGCTGCAATTTAAGGCACCTTCTGCCTCATGCAGGGCCCACCCCAGAACAGGCACCCAGGAAGTAGTTGTCAAATCACTGAGCATGTAGTGTTGCTAAAATGTTCACTTTTTTTGTTTTGTTTTTGTTTTCTGAGATGGAGTCTCGCTCTGTAGCCCAGACTGGAGAGCAGTGGTGCAATCTCGGCTCACTGCAACCTCCACCTCCTGGGTCCCAGTTCAAGCAATTCTCCTACCTCAGCCTCCCAAATAGCTGGGATTACAGGTACAAGCCACCATGCCCAGCTAATTTTCGTATTTTTTAGTAGAGACAGAGTTTCACCATGTTGGCCAGTCTGGTCTTGAACTCCTGACCTTGTGATCCACCCGCCTCGGCCTCCCGAAGTGCTGGGATTACAGGTGTGAGCCACCACACCCGGCAGTGCTCATGGTTTATAAGGGCTTTTTGTTTTAGTTTCAGGTTTTTATTTCCTTGACATCAACCTAGAGTTTAACTGTCTCCGTACTAAAGTACAAAGGACCAGAGACCCCAGGCCAGGCAGCCTCTGGGAGGCAGCAAACCCCATTGCTTGGGTCTCCAGTTATCAGAGCATGGAACATCATATCCATGCAAGTGCTGCCCTGGCCCAGCACAACTGCAGCAGCCCACAGTGGATCTGGGCCACTCTATGCAGGCTGGTCCCCAGGGGACATGCCTGTGACTCAGTGTGACTGAATTAAGGGCTCAGCATGGTTTACTGGGTGGAACTCCAGGAGCCACAGAGGCCCCTGGCTCTTCCACATCTTCTCTGCATCTCAGCTCCTTTCTGGAGGCATTTTATGGTCATGGAGACGTGGCTGTGCCATTGGCCATGGGGCAGCGAGGATGGCAGGATGAGCCTTTGCAGCAGCCAGTACATCACCCCTACCAGAGCTGTCCAAAGTGGACGGGAGGCAGCTCATTTTCTATGCAGCTGCCATGCCAGGATCTATTCAGGCTGCATTTGAACTCGGATGGGCATGTGATTCAGGCAGTAAAATATCATTGCATTCAGAGCAGTGGGTCCCCATGAGCCAAGCCCGTTGCTGCTCCATTCCAACTGACAGCTCCTGAGAACATATTTATTACCTAGGCTGTGAAGGCATCTGGTTTTTAGACTACCTAGGGTGTAATTAAGGTGAAAACGGATTGATGGAGCATACACCAAAGAGGAGCCAGCATGATTTAAAACCAGCTTTCTCAGATCTTCTCCCCCAAGCGGCCTCCCCACCCCTTTCCATTTCTTTTATAAAGGAAGTTAAGTTTTTGCCTTAGTGCAGTTTTTCAGAAGTACTTGCTTGTGGGAGAGCATTCTGCCCCATGGTGCCCAAGCTCTTCGACCCTGTGGAAGTGAGATGTGGGGAGTCCTTGAGAGCAGGTGCCCAGAGAGGTGTGTCAAGCTCTGTGTCCAGCCCCAGGCCACAGACACTGGCTTGGGCCCAAGGTTCTTAAACCTTGGGGTGGAGTGGTTGGGCAGGCAGGAAAGGGCACCCACCAGCCAGTGTTCCTGGGGCCTCATTGTGGGTTCTGGGGGCATTATCTAGCTGATGGGTAGGGTAAGAGAAATGGTTTCAAGGTAAGATGTGAGCTGATGCCCCGCACTGGGACATCTGGGATGGGCTATGTGGATTTTGGTTCTGTTCCCCTCCAAGGGCCAGTTATAAGGCCAGCAAAACCCCCCTTGGTCCCACTAGCTTTCTCAGCAGCCCGTGTTCTAGGGGCGCTGCCTCCCCATTTCTAGCCCTTCCCAAAGGAGGCGGCCGAGCAGGCCAGGCTTCTGTCTGTGCAGGAGGTCAGCACCTCCCCTGTCTTCAGCTGGTACCCAGCACTGTGCATACCAACACTGTGTGTTCCAAACCCTGTGCCAGGCACCCAGGAGGTGAGTACTCCAATCGTCTCCGTCTCGAAGAATAATAAAGTGAGGCCCAGGATCCCTAACTGATGAGGCTATGTAGCCAAAACATGGCACTGTGGCTGAGTCTTCATTCCCCGCCCTGCCACTTGCCCATGGAGAGCCAGCTCAGGCCAGAGATTCTGCCAGCGGCTCAGCTGTCCTTCTAGAGCGGCTGGTGCTGGCACAGCAAATCCGGGGCCAGCCAGCTCTACAACTCACTGCCTTTGCTAATGCAGAAAGCAGACCAGAACCACGCTCATTCTTTAGAAGTAGTCCCAAAGGACCCAGAATAGTTCCCCTAAATCTGGAAGAGGTGTGACTCCTGCTGCTGCTGTTGGGTTGCAGAGGAAAGCAGCATCAACCCAAGTCGGGTGCTTCTGTGGGGAGGTGTGTCTGTCACAAAGAATAAAACCTATATTTCTATTGATTCATGCACATTTACCACTGTCCCTGTGCCTTCTATTGATTATATGTTAGGTGTAAAATGCACTCTGTTGTCATTAAGGCATGTCTGAGCCAGTGAAGGACTTAGCTGGCTTTTGGATAACAGCTCTGAGTCCACTGTTTCTCAAGGGCCTGTTATATTCACCCCTGCCTGGAAAAGCCCACAGCTCCATGGAGTGGCTCCCAGCATTCAGAAGGGGCTTAGCAAGCTGGCTGGAGGGTGCTTTGTTTCTTGAAAGCTGACTGGCTGATTTTTCATGTGCCCTCCAAACCCAGTGACACAAATTTCTCTTGAGCAAAGTCAGCTCCTGAGATGGCCTCCTGGCCTCCTTCATTCCCTTCTCATCGCCTGGACGAGGGCTCAAACCAGCCTTTACTGCCTCCATAGCAGAGGGAGAGAATCTATGTGACTCTCAAGGGAAGCTGTGCCGTGGGGGGAGTCCCAGTGCCACTGTTGTCAAGGCTGTGCCCGGATGTGGTGTAGTTTGCTTCCAGCATGGCAGAGTTTCAGTTTTCATTTAGGGATGACACTAATAGATAATGGTTCCCTTTGATAGAAAGCTTGTAGAGAACTCTCAGAATTGCTGGGAGTCAGTCATTAACTCTGGCTCTGGGAGGTGCTCTGGGCTGACTGGGAGTTGGCCACACCATCTTCAGCCTAATTCATCATGGGTTTGTGTTTTTTTTGTTTTTTTTTTTTCATTAGATTACAACAACTTTCCCCAAGGATCCAGTTTATACTTTTTCTATTTCACAAAATCCATTTCCTATTGAAAACCGGGATGTTTTGGGTGAGACACAGGTAAGCTCTTTGTCTTTAGAAACATAATTTAAGGTACCTGCTGATTGCTTATCTAGTGTCAGTATTGTTTTTCCAGAAAACATCAAGCTTTCAAAAGCTCCCGATTCATTCTTGTGACAGGCCAGCTAGGGCCTGCTGTGGAGCACTGTTGGTCACGTGGACACCCTCCCTATGGCCAGGTGATAGATGGCCACAAAGGCTAATCCCCTGATGTCCTCAGACTGGCTAGAAGCACATCCTGCGTGGATCTTGTAATTTTCCCAAATGTGTCATTTTGTGTCTTCTGCCAGCAGCCTCATCACTGTTGGTTTGGCCTGCCCCCTGACTGGTGACCTGCTGCCTTTCTTGCGCACCTCGAGGCTGTGTGCCCCCTTTCGGCCTGGCCTCAGCTTTCCAACATGGGTGTTGATCTGCGGGTTAGCTCGGCTCCTCTGTTGGCCTCTGCTCTCACCGGCAGATCGGTACATCAGGCCAGGTCCAATTTGCTCTCATGCTTTCTGCATACTGTGTAGACAGGCTGTGTACTTATGGTTGTTCTAAAATCATGACTTGTTAATAGACATTTCAGAAGGTGGTCAAAGAATGTCTGTAAGGAGGCTTTTTTCAGTGGCTGACAAAGCTGCTGCTTCTATGCTTTGGTCCCCTCACTGCCCATCCGCCCAGGGAACTTGGGGTGCTTGGAGAGGTGCAGAGCCAGCTTCAAGGGGGGTACACTCTTGAAGCTCTGTGTTTGGTCCTGCTGAAGGTGTCGGTGCTGCATTACGGCTGCCCTGTGTATTCCTTCCTCTCACTGTCCTGCCACCAGAGATGGAGAATATAGCTCAACAGGAAAAGCCAGAGGCATCTCCTGGCCCACAGGGGAGCCCACTTTCCACCTGGGGGCCAGGGCGCATTCCATCTGTTTGACTGTGTCTCTGTCTGAGTCAGCTTTCTTTTTTTTCCCCTTTATTTTGAGATAGTGTCTCATTCTTTCGCCCAGGCTGGAGTCTCACTCTATCGCCCAGGCTGGAGTCTCACTCTATCGCCCAGGCTGGAGTCTCACTCTATCGCCCAGGCTGGAGTCTCACTCTATCACCCAGGCTGGAGTGTGGTGGTGCAATCTCAGCTCGCTACAACCTCCACCTCCTACGTTCCAACGATTCTCCTGCTTCAGTCTCCCAAGTAGCTGGGATTATAGGAGGGTTCCACCATGCCGGGCTAAGATTTTTGTATTTTCAGTAGAGATAGGGTTTCACCATGTTGGCCAGGCTGGTCTTAAACTCTTGACCACAAGTTACCTGCCCGCCTCAGCCTCCCAAAGTGCTGGGATTACAGTGTTAGCCTCTGCACCTGGCCAGTCTGAGTCAGCTTTACAAGCATGTCTTCTTGCACACCTGCCTCATCATGTGTGCTGAGAGCATCTCCTTGGGAGAAGGGAGCAGGAGCTTGCTTTGCGCTGCCTGCTCCTCTTTCTTGGACCCTGTCTGTGGTTGCAGAGGGAGGGAGAGAGGCGTCTCTCAGCATTCAGTGTATTGAGTTGCCTCTTAGTAGGAAATGACTCTTTCGGGGTCTGGCACTGGGGAACTGTATAGAACATTCATGTTTATTCCCTTCTCTCTAGGACTTCCATAGCTTGGCCACCTATTTGTCCCAGAATACTTCATCCGTGTTCTTGGATACCATCTCAGATTTCCACCTCCTGCTGTTCCTGGTCACCAATGAAGTTATGCCTCTGCAGGTACATGCCCGAGTGTGGCATCCGCCTGAGTACTTGGCTCAGGATGGCAGTCCCCCAGTGGACTTTGCCCGTAAAGAGACAGCTGTGTCTCAGTTTATTTTCTCACAGACCAGAGCGTGTGTGGTTGGGAAATTGGGCCAAAGCTTGGGGTCACAGATTGTCTTCCTCATTTGTCCTATGGACAGTGTGTAGGCAGCAGCTTTTCACAAGGAGTTTGTTGATAGAAAGATGAATTTTTTCACCTTTAGCATTTTCATTAAGTGTCCATACCTCTGTGAGGAAGTAAGGTTTCATCTGTTAGAACTGAATGGGAAGCAGAGGTGATTTAGCTCTGCCTCTAGCATTAGAGGTATCACAGTTTAAAAATTCCTATCCTAACAGTTTCAGAGTCACAGCCTCTGCTTTTTACTGGTATCTCCCCTCCTTCCGACTCAACTCTGGTTTTATTACCTTGGCCCAGAAGGCTTGGCCAGCTTCCAGACCCCAAGCTCAGAGCTGCACAGTTGGCATTTTTAAGACGCACTGTGGGGGGAAAAGAGGGCAAGTGCTTTGCAGAAGCGGCTTCCCTGGGCAGCATGGGGGCTATGGGCAGCAGCCCCCAGGTGGTGTCTCGCGTGTGCTGTGTGTAGGTGTCCTACTTTGGCGTTTGCTGCTCAAGCCGACAGGAAATGCCGAAGAGAAAGGAGCACATTATTTCTGAGCCACTATCCCTCTGACTCAGAACCTTTCCCTGAAGGAGACAGAATGCAGAGGTTCCTCCCTCCCAGGGCTTTTCTCTGTCGGGCAGCCTCTAGCTGTTCTTAATAGTTTATTTTGTGTCTGTATTTTGTCTCAAAACCACCCACTTGGATATTTGACATCAGGTACCCTGTGCCTCTTCCTGCTGCCTGTGCCTTCCTCAGTCAGCCTAAGGAGCTGCAGCTCCTGCTCCCAGGTTCAGCTGTTGCCCATCTGTGTGGACACCAGAGCCACCTTGCCAGTAAACTGCACTGTTTTGGCAGTCCACTGTTGGAAGACATTCTCTGGAGGTGCTGAGAGCCCCTGAAGGCTTTATTCGTTTCTCATGTATTAATGTATTATTTATTTTTTACTTTTTGAGATGGAGCCTCACCCTGTCACCCATACTGGAGTGCATTGGCGTGATCTCGGCTTACTGCAACCTCCATCTCCTGGGTTTAAGCAATTCTCCTCCCTCACCCTCCAAGTAGCTGGGATTACAGGCACCCACCACCATGCTGAGTTAATTTTGTATTTTTAGTAGAGACAGGGTTTCTCCATGTTGGTCAGGCTAGTCTCAAACTCCGGAACTCAGGTGATCCCCCTGCCTTGGCCTCCCAAAGTGCTGGGATTACAGGCATGGGCCACCATGCTCGGCCTTAATGCATTATTTGAATCCCCTGCATTTTGACCCTGGAAGGCTAGGATAGAGAGTGCATTTTTCCAGACATGATGGAAAAGAGAAAGAGGCAGGGGATGAAACGTGGGGGTGGGACACGCCTCACAGCCAGGGCTCCTGCCCCTCTGCCCAGCCTCCAGGACCAGAGGCATGAGCCCTTATCCTCTGGGCTATTGAGTGCCGTTAGCTCCTGGCAGAGTCGCATATGCCTGCTAGGGGCTTTTTGGGAAGAATTTACATTTTAGTTCACTTTAGCACTTTGGCATTTATAGATGTAAGTTGTGGTAGTTTGCATTTTATAGTGATAGAGCCTGTAAGATTTTTTAAATTTCCTCAAAAATACATCTTGGTGTTGAGGAAAAAGAAACCTGTTACAGGAAGCTGCCTGCCTCAGGCATAGTGAGGTGGAGCCTTCCTTTCGGCTTGCAGGACAGCATCAGCTTGCTGCTGGAGGCCGTTCGGACCAGAAATGAGGAGCTCGCCCAGACATGGAAGAGGTCTGAGCAGTGGGCTACCATCGAGCAGCTGTGCAGTGAGTACCACCCGCCGCCCTGGCACCCACTCCACACAGCTCCCCACTGCCTGTCGTGCCCTGGATTCTGTACCCTAGCTGCATCCTGGCAGGTGCCGTGGATGATGAGAGGAGTACAGACTCGACCTCCCTGCTGGGCATGTGGCTGTTTCCATTGATGTGACATACATGTTGTCCAGGCCATACCTCTTAGGTACATAGCCCCGTAAATTTTATAAATCTATACATCAGAGACGTTCATCTCCAAACATCCTAGGAGCACTTTGAACATCATTGTCTTAGAGAAACAAACTTTATGGAAGTGCTGGAAGGGGTGCCTTTTGGTCTCTTTGAGACTTTCCCTTTAGTGCTGAGTTACAGCTTCCCTTGCTGTAAAGAGGAGAAACCTACAGCATTCACGTTCTTCCCGTGGATGCTGCAGAACGGACTACAGGGTTGTGTGTCTCCAGGAGCCTCAGTCACCCAGGCCTGAACAGTCCCACCCTTGAGAACTTTTGCTTTGAGTCCATCCAGCTGAGAACATCAAAGTGCCAGAGAGCTGTTACAGCCTTGGACAAACACTAGAATCCCTCTGCTCACACAGCCTTGAAAGTACATAAAAACACGTTTTCTCTCTCTCTCTTTTTTTTTTTCTTTATAGAACCAAACCTTTTTTTTTAATTTCCTTTTTTTTCTGAGACAGAGTCTTGCTCTGTCACCCAGGCTGGAGTGCAGTGGCATGATCTCGGCTCACCGCAACCTCTACCTCCCAGGTTCAAGCGCCTCTCCTGCCTCAGCCTCCTCAGTAGCTGGGATTACAGGCGCCCACCACCATGCCGGGCTAATTTTTATATTTTTAGTGTAGAGACAGGGTTTCATCATGTTGAACACGCTGGTCTCAAACTCCTGAACTTGTGATCCACCGGCCTCTGCCTCCCAAAGTTCTGGGATTAGAGGCATGAGCCACTGCGCCCGGCCAAGGTTTTCTTGTCATACAATTCTTTGTTTATTATATTTATTTTTGTAGAGACAGGGTCTCACTCTTGCCCAGGCTGTAGTGACCATAGCTCACTACAGCCTTAATCTCCAAGCTCGAGGGAACTTTCTGCTTCAGCCTTCTGACTAGCTGGGACCACAGGCTTGCGACACCACACCCAGCTAATTCTTGGGGTTTTTGTTGTTGTTTTTTTTTTTGTTTATGTTTTAAAAATAATTTTAACTTTTATTTTCGATTCACAGGGTACATATACAGGTTTGTTACCTGAGTCTATTGCCTGATGCTGAGATTTGGGGTATGACTGATCCCATCACCCTGGTACTAAGCATAGTACCTAATAGTTTTCAGCCCTTTTTTCTTTTTTCTTTTTGAGATGGAGCCTCGCTCTTTGCTCAGGATGGAGTGCAGCAGCACGATCATGGCTCCCTGAAACCTCTGCCTCCCATGTTCAAGCAACGCACCTCCCTCAGCCTCTCAAGTAGCTGGGATTACAGGCGTGAGCTGCCATACCTGGCATTGCCATCTTTATGTATATGAGTACTCATTGTTTAGCTCCCGCTTATAAACAAAATCATAGAGCATTTGATTTGCTGTTCCTGCATTAATTTGCTTAGAATAACAGCCTTCAGCTTGGATCCATGGTCCTGCATAGGGCATCATGTCATTCCTTTCCATGGCTGCAACATTTTTAAATTTTTTGTAGTGATGAGCTCTCACTGTGTTGCCCAGGCTGGTCTCAAACTTCTGGCCTCAAGCAGTCCTCCCACCTCAGCCTCCCAAAGCCCTGAGATTATACCTGTGAGCCACTGTACCCAGCCCTTTTATGCAATTCTAACAATGACACCAGTCTTTTTAAATTATTATTATTTTTTTTTGAGATGGAGTTCGCTCTTGTTACACAGGCTGGAGTGCAATGGCATGATCTCGGTTCACCGCAACCTCCGCCTCCTGGGTTCAGGCAATTCTCCTACCTCAGCCTCCTGAGTAGCTGGGATTACAGGCACGTGCCACCGTGCCCAGCTAATTTTTTGTATTTTTAGTAGAGATGGGTTGCACCATGTTGACCAGGATGGTCTCAATCTCTTGACCTCGTGATCCACCCGCCTCGGCCTCCCAATAAATTCTTTTTTGTTTCTTTTTTAGAGACAGGGTTTCACTGGGTTGCCTAGACTGGAGTGCAGTGGAGTGGTCATAGCTCACTGTATCCTCCTGCTTCAGCCTTCTGAGTAGCTAGGACTATAAGCATGAGCCACTGTACCCAACTAATGTTGTTTGTTTTTTTGCTTTTTTTTTTTTTTTTTAAAGAGATGGAGTCTTGCCATGTTGCCCAGACTGGTCTCAAATGCCTAGGCTCAAGTGATCTTCCTGCTTTGTCTCCCAAAGTACTGAGATTACAGATGTGAGCCACCATACCTGACCTTTTTTTTATTTTAATTTTTTTGAGACATGGTCTCATTCTGTCACCCAGGCTGAAGTGCAGTGGCACTTGAGGTCAGTCTCAGCTTTACCTCCCCAGGCTCAAGTAGTCCTCCCAAGCAGCTGGGACAAAAGCATGTGCTACCATGCCTGGCTAATTTTTAATTTTTTGTAGAGATGAGGTCTCACTGTGTTGCCTAGGCTGATCTTGAACTCTTAGGCTCAAGTGATCCTTCCACCTCAGTGCTGGGATTGCAGGGGTAAGCCACCATGCCCAGCCAACTCTTTAATAATAGGCAGTTCTGACTGGTGTGAGATGGTATCTCACTGTGGTTTCAGTTTCCATCTCTGATGATTAATGATGTTGGGTATTTTTTCATGGGTTGGTTGGTTGGTTTGAGACAGAGTCTCTTTCTGTCGCCCAGGCTGGAGTGTACTGGTGTGATCTTGGCTCACTGCAGTCTCCGCCTCCCGGGTTCAAGCAATTCTCTTGCCTCAGCCTCCTAAGAAGCTGGAATTACAGGTGCCTACCACCATGCCCAGCCACTTTTTTTATTTTTAGTAGAGACAGGGTTTTTCCATATTGGCCAGGCTGGTCTCAAACTCCTGACCTCAAGTGATCTGGCCTCAGCCTCCTAAAGTGCTGGGATTCTAGGCTTGTGCACACCAGACACTTAGATCAGCTCAGGATGGGTTATAGGCCTAATGCTAAAAGGTAAAACTAAGAAGCATGATGTCTCATACCTATAATCCTCACACTCTGGAAGGCCAAAGCTGGAGGGTACTGGATCCCAATTCGAGACCAGCCTACACAACATTGTGAAGCCCCATCTGTATAAAAAATCTGAAAAAAAAGAATTAGCTGGGCATTGTGGGTGGTCCACACCTGTAATCCCAGCTCCTGGGGAGGCTGAAATGGGAGGATCCCATGAGTCCAGAAGATCAAAGTTAAAGTGAGCCGTGATTGTACCACTCCAACCTGAATGACAGAGTGATACCCTGTTTTTAAAAATACAAAAAACAGTTATTAGTTGTCTTCAGGGTCTTGGGGTACACAATTATTATTTTAGGCAGGATGCAGGACTTTGGGGTTAAACACAGAAAGAGTGACATAAAAAAATTTGGTAAATTGATAGTTATCTAAACGAAACACTCGTGCTCACCAGAGGGCACTGTTAGAAACATGAAAAGGCACAGATAGGGGACGCCGGAGTCTTAGCAATACATGCACATGACATGACTTCTAGCTACAACTTCAAAAGAACTCCACCTGTTGACAAACAGAAAAAGCATAAGAAGAAGCTGGGCAGAGGGTGAAACGTTTTGCAAAAGGAGGTGGAGGCCAAGCACGGTGGCTCATGCCTGTGATCCCACACTTCTGGAGGTCGAGATGGGTGGATCACCTGAGGTCCGGAGTTCGAGACCAGCCATCTCAACTAAAAACACAAAAATTAGCCAGGCATGGTAGCGCATACCTATAGTACCAGCTACTCAGGAAGCTGAAGCAGGAGGATCATTTGAACCTGGGAGGCAGAGGTTGTAGTGAGCCAAGATTGTGCCACAGCACTGCAGTCTGGGCAACAGAGTGAGACTCTGTTTCAAAAAATAAAAAAACAAAAGGAAATGCAGAAACAGTCATTATCATTCATCATCAGGGAAATGCAAACTTAGGAGAAACCATTACACATTCATTGGTGTGGCCGAAATGAAAGAAACACAACAGTGTCAAGTGTGCTCGAAGATGTGAAGCAGCTAGAACACTCTTGCCCTTTGAGAGGCAAAAACATGCTGTCCCTCGAGAGAACTGTGTGTCAGGGTCATAGAAAGTACAGTATACAATTCATCACTTTGTAGGCCAGCAGACTCATTCCTAGGTGGTTTTTGTTCGTTTTTTTTAAGATAGACTGTCACTCTGTCGCCCAGGCTGGAGCGCAGTGGCGCGATCTAGGCTCACTGCAACTTGCGTCTCCCAGGTTCAAGCAATTCTCATGCCTCAGTCTCCTGGGATTACAGATGCGCACCACCACTTCCAGATATTTTTTTTTTTTTTTTTATCAGTAGAGACAAGGTTTCACCATGTTGGTCAGGCTGGTCTTGAACTGACCTCAGGTGATCCGCCTGCCTTGGCCTTCCAACGTGCTGGGATTATAGGCTTAAGCCACTGCACCCAGCCTTGTTTTTTGTTTTTGAGATGGAGTCTTACTCTGTCATCCAGGCTGGAGTGAAGTGGCACAGTCTTGGCTCACTGCAAACTCTACCTCCCAGGTTCAAGGGGATTCTCCTGACTTAGCCTCCTGATTAGCTGGGACTGCTACTCAGGTGCATACCACCATGCCTGGCTAATTTTTGTATTATTAGTGGAGACTGGGTTTTGCCATGTTGGCTAGGCTGGTCTTGACCTCCTGACCTCAAGTGATCTGCCCACCTCGGCCTTTTAAAGTGCTGGGATTATAGGCGGGAGCCATTGTACCCAACCTCACTCTTATGTTTTTATCCAAGAGAAATAAAAACACAGGTCCACAAAGAAATTCTACAAGAATGTTCCTGGCAGCTCTGTTCATATTAGCTCAAAACTGGAGGCTGGGCTTGGCAGCTCACACTTGTAATCCTAGCACTTTGCGAGGCCAAGGCAGGCAGATCACCTGAGGTCAGGAGTTCGAGACCAGCCTGGTCTCAAACATAGCGAAACCCAATCTCTACTATAAATACATAAAATTAGCCAGGCATTGTGGCTCATACCTGTAATCCCAGCTACTTGGGAGGTTGATGCAGGAAAACTGGTGGAACCTGGGAGGCGGCAGTTGCAGTGAACCAAGATTGCACCACTGTACTCTAGCCTAGGCAACAGAGTGAGACCCTATCTCAAAAAACAAACAGAAGGCCAGGCGCGGTGGCTGACGCCTGTAATCCCAGCACTTTGGGAGGCTGAGGCAGGAGAATTGCCTGAACCCAGGAGGCGGAGGTTGCGGTGAGCCAAGATCGCGCCATTACACTCCAGCCTGGGTAACAAGACCAAAACTCTGTCTCAAAAAAAAAAAGAAACAAAAACTGGAAACAACCTAAATGCACATCCCCCAGGGAATTAGGATATCCACACAGAGAAGCACCCTCTGCAACAAAAAGGAATCAGCAAGCACAGGCTCCCTGTCACTCGCTGTGGTGCAGGAGGCATTTCTCTGAGCCTGTTGCAGCTCCCAAGGCAGCCAGGCAGTGAGGCTGTTTAGCCCTTCAAAGCATGGCTGTGGTGGGAGTGCTGTGGGGGCAGCATGGGGTGGAGGGTGGAGGTAGGGGCCGGGGAGCTTGCAGCTGCCTGCCTCTGGCCCCTGCCCACACTCTGGAGATCTCTGGTGGGCCAGAAATGGTGAGTGCTTGTGTCTCTCCCGCCCTGCAGGCACAGTTGGCGTGCAGCTCCCAGGCCTCCAGGAGTACGGAGCTGTCGGGGGCGCTACACACACGGCCACTGCGGCCATGTGGGCCTGTCAGCATTGCACCTTCATGAACCAGCCTGGCACGGGCCACTGCGAGATGTGCAGCCTCCCCAGGACCTAGGGCGCAAGCCCTCTGCTGGGTGGTACCGGGCCCAGCCCAGCCCTTCCTGAAGCCACAAGTATTGCTCAGTGTGTTCCCTGTAACTGCCCCGAAGTGGGCAGTCCTGGAAGGGCAGGGGGCTGGCTGCCCTGGGTTCCCTGACCCACTGAAGCTTCTCAGCACGTTCCTTACTGGAGAGTGGGCGCCAGCACTGTAGGCTGAATGCATCTCCAAACTGGAAACACAGAGCGGCCACACACGCCTAGCCCTGTTGACTAGCCCCCCACTGTTGGAAGGACTGCTCACCTCTACATGGCACCTGGAATTGGGAGCATAGGAAGGGGCTGCTGTCACCCAACCTTTTCTTTCTTTTCGATGCTTTTTGTTTGACCCCCCCTGCCCCCCGCGTTTTTCTGGTTGGGAGTTCTTGATTCCCGTGTCTGACTGCTTGGTGGTGGACACTCTGCCTGTGAGGGTCAGTTTCCTCTTTGGCAGCTGGTTTCTGGTGGGGACACGGTGGCCTGGACACAGCTCCCCTCTGCAGGTCGGTCTGCCGCCCGCCCTCCTCCTCTCGCCAACATCCAGGTGGTATTTTAAAGTATGCATTTGGTTATAATAAGAGTTATCAGTAATTCCTGCCCAGAACACTTTTATTTATTTTTTTTTAAGATAAAAACTGCACAAAAGGGGAGTGAGAGAGACTAGTTGCCACATCCTTCCCTCCTTTAGTGAAGCCTCCAAGGGCGTGTCCAGGGTAGTGAGTGTGGACAGGAGCACCAGTCAGTTCTCCCTTGAAGTAAACCTCAGTGCCTGAGACTTTTCTACCAAGCCACACAACTGCAGCAGCTGCAGACACTGCAGGCTGAGGAGGGGCAGTGACGGGCCTGCCCTGAGGCTGCCCTCTAACGGCCTTGGTGGGAGAGCTGGGTCTCCGTACCGATGCTCTGGCCCTCCTCAACATGCTGCTTCACCCCACTGCACCGCCTGGCTGAGGGCATTAGGAGCTTTGCCTCTTGTGAGGGCCATTTGGGACCTCTCTGGGGCAATGGGCAGTTGATAATGTACCGATGGAGCATTCTGGGCAATCTGGAACAGCACCTGGTGGGGTCCTGCGTGTGTGCTATGTGGGCTCTGGTTTCCTCTGTGGCGGGGCCAGGGCACAGCTCTCACCCAGGGAATGGGGGGCATCTTGATGCTGCTTTGCCTTAATGATGGCCACATCTGGACTGCACTGCACCCATGGGAGAGGCCAGCCCAGCTACAGACTGTGCTTAGGGACTTCTGTATCCACCCTGGGGGGTAAGCCCATGTGACCCTCCCTCATTCTCGGCACTGTGGACAGAAAACACCTATTGGCTTCTCATGTGGCCAGGGCTGTGGCTGGCACCTCCAGGTCCGCCTGGCATGGGACACCAAGTAGAAGGCCTAGGCAGTTCATCTGCTCTTGGGACCAGGGGCCAGTTGGGTTGGGTATGATCATGGCAGAGCTGTCCTGGAGGATTAGGAGGGATGGAGAGGAGCTGGGCTGAAGCGGACTGCTGCGGGTGCAACTCCCAGTTTGCCTGCTGTGGGCTGTCTGCTCTCCCTCCTGACAGCTGTCATGGCTGAAGTTTTGTCCTCTGCTGTCTCCTCTGGTCCCCTGAGATCAGCTGTGAGCTAGGTGGCCAAGGCTTCTTGTGTTGCTTCCCTGTGAGTCCAAGGCCTTCCCCATCACTGGGCAGGGACTGGACAGCACGGATGTCTAGAGACCTTGCCACATCGCCAGTTCCTCTCCCACTTGCTCATCCTCCGCCACATTATTCCAGCTTCCTTTTCACCTTCACCAGCATTTCCCTTACTCTCAAATTCTGGCATCTACATCATTCATGTTTTGTCTTTTAGCTAAAGAAAAAGAGTTGGTGATTTGTCTGCTTCTGGTTTTGAGTTACTCTTTGTTCAGTAATGCACTTTATTTTATTGTCCAAAGAGAGTCAGAGCTAAGCCTACAGGCTTCGGGGTGAGCCCTGCCGTGAGAATCCAGGCCCTGGGAGGCTCAGCCACCTTCTCTTGTGGGAGGGAGGTCTCAGCCCCACCTTGCCGCCTTACCTGCCCTTGGTATGGACACACCCTTTTATGCTACCAGCAGCATAACCCAGTGGGGGTGACTGGGTGCACACCTGCCCAGGTGCAGCTGCCAGGCTTCTGGTCATGGCCACCTCTAACCAGGCTGCTCCTGGGACACAGGTGCTCCTGCTTCGGCTCTGTTTTGGCTTACAGGTGTGCATCACTGGGCTTGGATTCGCATTACATTGACCGCAGCCCTGCAGTGGAACCTAATAAAAGCGCCTGAAGCAACTGCCTGCTCCCGGTGTGTCCTTCCTGTGCACTGAACTATTGTCTGGCATCTGTTCATTGGGCGGTTTGATAACTTGTCCCTAAGATACCACTGTCTTTTTATAACAGTATGGACTGTTATAGGAGGGGACCCTCCTTTCCCAGCATGTCCCTCCCCACCTTGGCTTGTCCATGAGGAGGAGGAGATTGTATCAGTGCTGGACAGCCTGGCCACCCTTGGGTCCCTCTTCCGCTTCTGCCCCACTTGTCAGCCCTGCGGCCACTCCAAAATCACAGCTTTGTGGACAGGTGCACATGGCGAAAGAGCAGGTGAAGGACAAAGCCCAGACTGCACAGGGGGCAGCAAGGAGTGAGGCCTGGAGGCTGACATGCTGCCTGCGCTTGAGCTGTCTTTCGCTGTGACTGAACAAAGTTCTAGAACAAGTTCCCTCTGACCCTCAGGTAGGAGCCCTTGCATCCACTGTTCAGCACCACTTTGTCCTGTGCCCAGTGATTCATTGCTGCCTTGAGCAGTTACTAATAAACAAAAACCCCAACTAACATCTGAAGGGGCACCTGGGGTAGAGCAGCCACAGTGCAGTTACCAAGGGGGCCTGGCTTCTGGATGCCAGGAGTGAAAGGGTGGGCCCCAGCACCCAGCCTCCAGTCCTGCACCTTCAACACAGTGCAGTTCACTCCATTACCCACAGCTCCTGAGATCGCTTGAGCCCAGGAGGTTCAGGCTGCAGTGAGCTGTGATCACAACCCAGACTGGGCTGTGGAGTGAGACTATCTCAAATAAGACTTATCTAACATAAGAGTCATGGCATGCTTACGTGAGAGGTAGTGAACGTCCTTGGAGCTTTCATCCTCTCTGGTTTATGTAAAGATAAAAGCCAGACATAGTGGCTCACACCTGTAATCCCAGAACTTTGGGAGGCTGAGGCAGATGGATCACCTGAGGTTAGGAGTTCTGGCCAAAATGGTGAAACCCTGTCTCTACTAAAAACAAAAACAACTAGCTAGGCATGGTGGCGCACACTTGTAATCCCAGCTACTTGGGAGGCCCAGGCAGGAGGATCACTTGAACCTGGGAGGCCAGAGGTTGCAGTGAGCCAAGATTTCGCCCCTGCACACTCCAGCCTGGGTGACAGAGCAAGACTGTCTCAAAAAAAAAAAGTGGTGGGCCCAGTGGCTCACACCTGTAATCTGTAATCCCAACATTGGGAGGCCAAGGCTGACAGATCATTTAAGGACAGGAGTTTGAGACCAGTCTGGTCAACATGGTGAAACCCAATCTCCACTAAAAATAGAAAAAATTACCCAGGTAGGGTGGTACACATGTGACTGTAATCCCATCTACTTGGGAGGCCAAGGCAGAATTGCTTGAGCCCAGGAGGCAGAGGTTGTAGTGAGCCAAGATCATGCCACTGCACTCCAACCTGTACAACAGAGACTCTATCTCAAAAAACAATTTAAAAAAAATGGTTCTTGATGCGAATCCCCCACGAAATCAAGCAAATTGTACTGCTTAGAAACAGAACTCAGGCCCAGGGTACAAGACCAGCCTGTGCAACATGGCAAAACCTCGTCTCTGTTTAAAAATACAAAAATTAGTCTGGCGTGGTAGTGTACACCTATAGTCCTAGCTACTAGGGAGGCTAAGGCAAGCGGTTGGCTTGAGACTGGGGTGTTGAGTCTGCAGTGAGCCGAGATTGCACTGCTATACTCTAGCCTCAGGGACAGAGTGAGACCCTGTTTCAAAAAAAAGGTGGGTCCCCACCCCACCTTCCTGGTCTGTTGTCACTGGGCTGTGCTGCTCTGGGGAGAGGTCCCTCAAGTGGGCCCTCCTCACCCTCAGCACAGGCTGAAGTTTTGTGGTTTCTCTCCCCTCAGTCTGACTCTAAAATTGTTAGACTCCTTCGTATAATTTGTCCTTAGGGAGATGCACCTTCAAGCTGGGCGTAGAAATGCAGTGTCCAGCGGTCCACTCTGCTGTCTCAAAGGTTTCTGCTAGGAGTGTGTGCACTTTTCACACCCACAGCAGAGAGGCTGCCTCAACCCATCACCCTTCGACAAACATAGGTGGGGCACGGCACAGCCCAGCAGCTGATGGAGAGCCGCCCTTGAGTCCTTTCCTGGTATCTAACTCACCCCCTTTCCTCTGGAATCCATGCTTGAGGTCCCCCTCACATGACTGTTGATCATAAATCTTGTTGCAGAGAGAAGCTGGGCTTGGCGTGGGGTCAAGAGCCTGCCAGCCACCAGAAAAGAATGGAGTGGGAAGTGAAGTAAACTGCAGGTTGAGGCTGCTGGTTTAGCGGGCCTCCTCCCGCCTCCGCTTCCTCCTCCACGTGATCGTGATCATTTCTTCTAGGACAGTCTTGGCATATTTCGTTCCATATAGAAGAGATGGCCTGGGAGGACTGGATGGGAGCTGGTGTATGTGAGCGAATGACTCACAGGCTTCAGAGGGTGAAAACTATCGGTCAGAAGACCAGCGGAGAATCTCTGCCAGGGAAAT